GTCAAAATTAAAAAATTAACCCGATTTTAACAATTGGATACTTCAAAGTTGGATATTAGTTTGGGTTTGGATACATACATCGGATACTTTCCATATCTAATTTTAAGATTATATTATTTCCATAACTAATTTTATGATTTCCTAATATTTCTCTAACTAATCAATTATTATTCTTCTTTAAATTTTATTTGATCGTATTTTTAATTTATGATATTATGCTATATAATAAAAATATTTAATAAAAATTAATATTTTTTTTTGCATATGTTCCAATTTGAATTTTTCAAAACGGACATATAATACTCAACTACACTCGGTAAAATATTTTGGACAATGATTTAAAATTAGTATAAGTATGATCAGTATTAAAACCATTGTTACATGAGCATATTTAAAAGTTTAAAAAGTTTCAAAATTTTATAATTAAAAGATTCATATATATAAAAATTTAGAATTGAAATTATTAAAAATATTTTATTGAAGATATAGATGTAATTTTGGAGACATAATTTTTATTGATTAAATATATTATATATCAAACTATGTAAATTTTAGATAGTTTGCGGATAGTTTGTTAAAATCACAATTATAATGGTAAAGCAAGTTATGAATAATGTTTTTTACAAAATGAATTTTGTTTCAGGTTGATCCTTCAAAAAATATATTGTAAGTATGTAATTTTTACATATATTTCTACTTCTACTACAAAATGGTCAAATTGAATAATTTGTCGATACATATTATTTCGTGCCGTTCATTTTTCACTGTTTTATTAGTTGTATCAAAAATCAATGTATTATTATTTACTCGCTTTTTCGTTTTATTATTTTATTTAAACTTATTATACAAATATACGATTCACCGTAATCGACTGCATTGCAATAAAATTAAAATGTAATATATTGTAATCCGTTAAAGGTTATATATATGTAATTATTTCCTCCGTGCTGTAGCGCGGGTCCGAATCTAGTATCTATGTATAAGATGATAGAAGGCAAATCAAACCCATTGGGATCATATTTCTTCGGTGTTTCTTATTCAATATTTTTTTTTTAACTATCTTATGGTCAATTTTAAAATCTTAAGCATGCATATTTTATTTCATGTTAATGTTGTGATATTTTCATATAACTACTGTCGATAGATTAAGATTGTGTTGCAATGTTTGATATTCAGTTTTCGAAAATGATGGAGTTAAAGCGACATGATTCTGTGAGAATAATAAACTTAGTTACCTTTAAACTGTCTTATAAAATTTATGTTGTTCTAAGGATAAGTAATTTAAAAAGTTATTGAAATAACTCAATCGGTTTTACTTTTTAATTCCATAATTTATAGTCTCATACTTACTAATTAACCAAACCGAACAGCTAACAGTTACTAGCAAAAATAAATTAAACCAACTCCAATAAAATTAATAACCAAGTCAAACAAATTCAACAACCAAACCATTAACTAGAAATCATAACATGCTTCTAATCCAAGGTTCCAACAATAACAAAATAAAGCATAAAACACATCCAACGACTCTAAATCATCATTTTCGTCGTTGCCACGATCCCATGGTCACACTTTCTCTTTACATGCACTATAAGAAAAAAGATGTGTGAGTATTATAAAAAATACTAAGTGAGGCGGTCGTTCCATCTACCAGGTTATACACACAAGTAAGGTAAATCAACCAACATGCAAAACAACCAAACCATGCAAAATAACTACCAACCGAGATTGGTGTCGAACAGTCACCACCACTGGTTGTGTCAACCGGTGCCGACCTGGTGTTGAATTATACTGCCTCTGCATCAGCTTTGGAATCGCTTCTTGTCACTCGTGACAAGGAAACAAATCTAATCCCCAAACTCGACCACAAGCGACACCTAACCATCAAACATGCAATACACATCACCAAAAATCACCTAACATACACAGAATCAAATTTACTAGCATCTACAAAATCAAAACACACATCATAAGGTTCAACAAGCTTAGTCCAGTCATTGTCACTCTCTCACCTCCGATTTGGGATTGATTGGGAACAAAAACATCAAGAACACAACAAGAACATATGTAAGCCTCCTCACACCAACAACCATGAACTCAGCTTCTTTTTACTTGCAAAACCAACAAAAACCCTTAGTCACCTCCATAAATGCTTCTCAAGCCTCACCTTAAGCCTCTAGACCAATTCACAAATTCTCTCTTTCTCAAATTTCCAGGATGCGACAAAAGCAGAGAAAACTGTCAAAAGAGTGGCTGCTCCAGTTTTAACACGACTTAGACTTTCTTTCCAAGTCGAAATCAAGTTAAGCTGAAGATTTAAAGTAAAACGCCTAACTCAAATAATGGTTTATAACAAGATAAAAAAGTTAATAATAAAAGCTACTAGTTTTGATTAGATTGCGAGAAATAACATACCTTTTCATTACAACAAAAAAAACAAAAAAAAGACTTACTATATTATCTAAAAACGGTAGAAAAATATTATTGTCCAATTACTCATGTTGGTAACTCCATAACAAAAACAGAGTAATATGAGACAAGGTGATATAATTCTACGTACTTATTGCATGATCCGATGGTAATTCATTGTTCATATCTTTCTTTGTATGCAATTGTCAATAGTGTTCGGAGTGTTTTAGTTCGCCCACAACCAAGGAACTCTGGTTCAATAGTCTTTAGCAATCAATACATAAAACATTACAAGACAAACTCTCCCCAACAAGGACAACAACACTAGATTCTCTGGTCTTCTCACATGTTTCCTAATAATATTTCTAGGATCTTTGGTTAAAAACCATACAATAACATTCACTAGTTACGGATTTCGATAATATTTTTGATATAACTAATTAGGAACATTTTGTTTTGGTTAATAAAAAACTTAAAAACCATATATAGAATCCACTTTTTACTGTTACTAATCGCATTTCGAAGATTCAAATAAATTTCTAAAATGAAAATATGATTAGAACTCCAGAAACAAAAAAAAAATATGAGGGATTACTCATATTTTGGTTTTCTACTCATCTCTGAATTGAGAGTTATTAGACCAACATTATAGGTAGTATGTTAATTAGGGTATCTTAGAATTAATTAGTATTAAACTTGAAAAAGTTGAGTTTAAGAGTTTTTAGTTTTGAGATGTGTTTATTGGTAGGATCTTAAGTTGGGTATCTTAGAAAAAAATTTATAATTTGTAATTTAAGAAAATTTTATAATTATTGCAAATTTAGAATTTGAAAACATACGTAAGAGAGAAATTATAAGATAGAAATTATAACATAAAGTACAATAAATTTAAACGTGAAAATTTACTCCAAATATGTTTGACCAGATCGTTATTCAATTGTTCATGCTTAGCTCGATCCCGAAGTCGAGTTCTAGCGGCCATCAGATCGACGGAATTTGAAGGCATATATGTATCATACGAGAAATCCACTCATGTACTTTCGACAGTTTCCGCTTGTTGAAATTCGGTGACATCAAATTGAGTATACATATCTCGTTCATTTTCATCTGGATATCTTAGAAAGAAAATAAAATTATTTAAAAATTAAATTAAATTAAAAATTGTAATTTGAGAAAATTTTATAATTATAGAAAAATTTAAAATTTAAAACATACATAAGATGGTGGTGGTCGGTTGACAAAAAAAAGATGGTGGCCGTCGGTGATATTGTTGTTTCACATCGCGAGAAAAAGAAAGAAAAAAACTAAGTTATTTTTTCCTTTATATATTTATCTCTGTATCCAATCAAAATGTGCCACGTATACGTATCTTTACCCTCCAAAAATATCTTACATAAGATACCTATCTTAAGTATCTTACCTAAAATTATGATTTTTGATTTAAATTTAAATCTTAAATTTACTAAGATACTTCTTAAATCTCCTTGATAATGTTGCTCTTAGGGCATCCTCATTGGGGGTATCTTATGAGGCTAAGATACCCCCACTTTTCCAAAGAAAATCCTTATATAACATACTTTCTTTGAAAAAGTGGGGGTATCTTAGCCTCCTAAGATACCCCCAATGAGGATAGTCTTAGTTTTACAAACTCGAAAGAACACACTTGATATGAATAAATTTTACATTCATTAAAAATGAAAAGTTTGATTAGAACATCACTTTATCTTGCATTTTATAAAAGAGTAAATAACTTCTTCCTTTGGTATATTTTCACATTAAACCAAAAAAAAAAAACACTCATGTGGCATAATCAATGAAACTAATGATGCTAAAGATTAGATATAAAGGAAAAGAAAAAAAAAGTAGAAGAGACAAAACAGCTACATGTTGGCAGTATCTTACTAGGTGAGAAAAGTGAAAAATAAAAAGATCACGTTTATTAATAAAAATCTTGTAATGAAAAAAAATTGAAGAAATCGAAATTTTCATAACCGTAAAAGTCGGAATTAAAAAAATAAATTTGATAAAAGAATACAAATCTTGGGAACTAAATAATAATAATTTTATTAATCATCGAAAAAAAACAAAAAGAGACCATTCTGGTTCAACTCCGGTTCCAGTTCAGACAACGTTAACAGGCTTCCGAAGAAACATAAGCGAAGAAGGTGGCGCGTCACCAATCCACGCGCCGACGTAAAGACGCTCATAGTAATGAACACAGTAAAGCGACAAAGAGAGCTGAAGCTGGTCTCTAGTCCAAAGAAGCTTAGGTAGCCTTGCAAGAACAGGACGGATACAGAGGAAGTAAAGACATCTATAGCCACCAAGAGCCGAGACAATAGAACGAAGAGACAAAGATGGTCGTGGTGACACTTGTTGGAAACAAAGCTCTTCCCATATAGAGTCGTTACGTGCCACAGCTGACCAAAGACGGCACACACATGCGGCTGAACATAGAGATGGACCGTCTAGTCTCCGGAGGATTTCAACAAGAACGTCGTGGTGGTCGTTGATACTGAACTCAGGACGAGAGGCTGAGGCTTGTGTTAGTGTCACTCTTTGTCTCTTGTTGTTACTTTTCTCTACCATGTCTTTACGTTTCTTCTCCGACATGGTTATAGAGAGATCAGATAGAGAGAGGTTTTTATAAAGAGAGAAGAATGATACAGCTGTTGATATCACACGGGCACATATATGTGTGTGTAAGTGAGAAGCAATAGAGAGAGAGAGAGAGAGGAGTGATGTTTTTATATATTTCAATCTGATAAAAGAAGAATAAAAATATAATGTTGGTTGGGTGGTTCTTGTTTCTTTTATAAAACCTTAAGTCTATATCATTACTTAGATGTTTTGTCTTTTTGTTTTAAAAGCTATTGGTAGAACATATAACTATTTGTTTTGTTTTGGTTTGCTAATCTTTTATTCATGCCTTTCTAATCCTAGTATGACCTATGGGATTGCTTAATACGGGTATAAAAACTATTTATATCCAATTATTTGATAGGATGGTATCGTATAATTATAGTAATTCGCATATATGGTTGAGATTAGTACGAAATACTATTTTGATAAGACGAATTTTACGAAAATGACATTTTTGCTAAAATATTATATATTTTCAATTTTGAACACTGAAAAATATCCGTATTTATGATTTTTTTGTTGCTAAAATACATAATTTACAACAGATACTAAAATTTTTGATTAAATAGTTCTACCCATTCCCAATCATATAATTGGGTACCAATTAAACCCAATCATAATTCGTTATACCACATGTTTAATCATATTTTAATAGTGTATGAAATGATAAATTCGTAAAAATTTAAATAAAATGGCAAAATCTATAAATGTTATCAAGAATAACGAAAAAATCGTTATTTATTCTATATTGTTAGATAGAGTCTATAATATGGTCATAGTAACTCGCACTAGTGTTCGATATTGATAGATCTAATACCAACTAATTGAGAGCTATTTTGAAAAGAAATAAGTTTCTTTTTTTTTTTAATTGCAACTCTATTATGAAACTGAATAAAATATAAGTGATTAGTGTTTGTCTTTTGAAAGTGAGCAAGAGGGATATATACCTAAAACTTCAAACCTAATCAAGATGGGATAGGTAAATTAATCTTGTGGTATACTATATATGTAAATTTAGGTATAATTATATGAATACTATACTATTACAAAATGTGACTACGTGTGTAAAATAAAACCTACTTGTTAATATATTTATAGATACTTGTTGGGTAACGTAACAAAGTTAAAATGATTTGGAACGACTAGTTTCTTTGTTTCCTCCACGCTATGCTTTCTTGAACGGTAGTGTTGAGTCAAATCTCTCTCGTTGACTTTTGTTGTTGTTGTTTTTTCTTCTTTTTTGACATTTCTTTTTTCAGTCCCATATCCATAAATAATTTTAGTGTGTACATACACAACACTTTTACCTATAGAAGATAAAATTAAATACAATCCAATAAGATCTTCATACTCCCTTTTAAAATTAAATAATTTTGAGGTAATTTTTTTAAATGTATATTCCAACTCCATATAATTAAGTTATCGACTAGTTTACATGGAAATAATAGCAACTGTATATTCTTATATATTTCACAATTTTGGGTTTGTTCGTTTGGTCGCCGCAGGTACCTGCGACTGCGGTGGCGACAAAAATTATTTTTCATTTAGTTGCTGCAGGTTGCCGCAGCGGTGAACGCAACGTCTTGTGAATAAAATTTTTGAACGTCGATTTGATTTAGCGGCTAAAAATGTTGTGCTCGCCGCAACCGCTACTGCTGCCGTAACCGCCTGCGGCGACCAAACGAACATGCCCACAATGAATGTTTTAGTTTCGAGAAATATATAAAAAATAAAAAATATATAAAAAATCCTTCAATTATGATGTAAATAAATTAGACTATTTTCAATATTTGACATCATTTTTAAGAAATCTAAGCAATCTATAGCAAAAAAAAAAGCCACATCTATATAAAAAAATCAATAAATATTTTGTTATCCAAACCATAGTTAACCGATTCCTTTTAAGCTAATATGTTAAGTTTTTTTCTTCCAGAAAAGTATAGTTAAAACTTAAAACATTAAAACGAACATTAAAATTACCATTCATTAACACTAAATAAAAATTTGAAAATACATATACAGAAAAATCAAACAATTAAAAACTAAAAACCAAAAACTAAAACCCAAAAACCATAAACCAAAAAAAAAAGTCATTATAGAAAAAAGAAAAACCCATTACCATTCAATCGAAAGTACTGTTTGGAGCTATTCCCAAAACGTTTTCACAAATATGTAACTTTTCTTTTACATGATAAATGCATTCTCAATATATTTTTCTTTTCATTTAAACGTATAAACAATATATAAAAATCATGGTTTTAGTCTACTTTAGTTGACAAAACTGCTAGCAAAGCCTTCACACCATTTTACACAATCTTCTAACATTTATACAATTTATTTAACAAGATTGAAGGAAACCAAATTTATTGGGAGCATAATTAATTAACGGATATATTTATAGATTACTATAAAATATGCATGTGAACGTCTATATCTATAGGGTAGAGAGAAAAAGTTGTGACTTGTGAATGGGAATCGAGGTGAAGTGAGCATGTGTCCAAGGGAAAGAATCCACCAGAAAGAGAGAACTGCAAAATCCGATGCTCTTCCATTTTCGTTTTTTTTTTCTTTCTTTTTTTTATAACTATTTATCTATCTAAATTATATACATAAATTTACAAAATCAAAATAAATGACAAAACAAGAATACAAAATAAAAGAACAAGACACTACAATTTGTCATTTTTTTCTCAATGTACTGAAAATATAAAAGGTTCGAATATTAAGAGCAGTCGAGATAGACAAATCCGTCAACGATTTAGTCTGTTTTATTTTTTAAAGTGAACAACAAACCATTGTGGACCAATTCTATTTGTACGTAAAAACGGTCCAAAATTGGTTCATAACGATATTTTAATTTCTTTTTTACCGTATTACAGATTATATTTGATGAATGGTAAATAAAATTTAGTTTAATTCGTAGATGGATTTGTCCACCTTAATAATTGCAATAATTTAGATCCAAATTATTTTCTTTCTTTTGTGTTCAACTAAAAATAAACATACTATTGTTTTAGGTTACTATTATACTAGTGAAATACATTAGATTGTAAATATATAAAAGCACGTATGCGTGTCTTAGTGTATATAGTAGGTTATTACAGTTTGATCTTCTCGAGGTAAAAGAGACATTGTTGTTCGTTCTTCTTGTTGTTTTATGTATTTACCTTTTTTGTATTTTGAGTTTTTCCATATGTCTTCTTCACATTCTCATCAGTCTTTCTTGTTTCAGAGCCGTTGTACATTTTTATCTATAGGGTATATTCATACTTGTATATGTCCACGTAGATATAATAGTAAAAACCATATATTGCATGACATACGTAAGAAGACTTTACAATATATACACTTTAATATACAATATTTGTTTTTCTATTTTAGTTTCTTCATGATGCATGCATGTTTGATGTTTCAATTATTTTTATTTTTTGTAACAGGTGATGTTTGATGTTTCAATTATTCATTCCAAGATTTCGATCAATCCTAAGAAGCAATATCATGATGATGATGATGTTGAAAATCTTGCATAAACATATTATTATGTTGTTTACGACCAGAAGATATGAAAGATTTGTTGTTTTTGTTATGAGTAGAGAAGGGGACAAAATTATGTATAAATTTTTTGATGTTTTGTTCAAAAAAAGAAAAAGAAAATCTTTAATATCTCCACTAAATGTATGAAGAGTAACCAAACCAATTTGTAAAATAATTGGTTTTAGGATATAAGTGATAATCATCTTAAAATGTAATTGGATCAACAAAGATATTGTACACACTTAATCACCATTCAAATATTTTCTATATTGCTTTAGTATAATTTACAAAATTCTTTATTTTTTTTTTGTATTGGTAATGTTGTCATTGTAAAGTCTCAGGTCACCATATTCATATTTGTTTTTTGATAACATCAACTTGGATTAACTCAAACGAGCCAATCGGCAGGAAAATTGTTTACAAATTTAATAACCTGCAGACATATTTATGTCTTTACTGATAAGGTTTTAGTTAATTGTTAAAATTATGTATATGAACTAACTTTCAAGATCATTATAATGTTAATTATAGCCGGAAACAAATTAAAAGTAGTCTACTATATATCACACAAAATGTTATAAGATGATTGTCATTTTGATCATGTATGAATACTTGAAACTATATATCTCCAAAATCTTTATCATTACAATTTTCTTACTGAATTTTTTCTCATTTTAAAATAGATATAGACACGAAAACATAGAAGAAAGCATAATTTTGTATCATTTTCAGCGAACAATAGCCGTATACTACCATCCAAATGAAGAGACAAAAGATAGACTGTCACCTAAAATAAGAGAAAAAAAATTACAATTATATTTTTTTTTAAATGCAAACAGAAATTAATTAACTAAAAAACTTGACGTCATGAAAATATCAATTGACAAGTAAAAAAAAAAAAAAAAGTATCTATCAAACATATAGTCCTTAAGCAACTATTTAGTTGTCTTTTTTGGTATTGGACTTTCTCCAAAAATAGCAAATCCAAAATTCGTTCTAACAACCTTTATGCTGTCCTTAGACTACACATATGTTTCAAATGTGCATTATACATAAATTATACTGTTAACAAATCACTAAAGGAATGAACTGTATATGAAATGTTGACAAGGGAGATGAATTTGTCATGTGGGTTTATAATTAAATTATTGATTTTCTTATTAATCCATGAAATAACAAGAAGATAATTACGAAATATATCTCTTCATATGATCATAATTTGAGAGATGTTTTCATTTTAGTTTCTTTCAAATATACACTTACTCTTTCGACGACTAGTGTTTGTACTTTGTAAAAAGAGTGACATGTGCGGCATCAAATTGGTCAACCTTATATAATTATCGTATTGACTCTCTGATTTTATATAAAATTATAATTTTCCTGCAAAATGGGTAGGGATATATATATATATATACATTACAATGAACATTCTATTTTTAATTGATTTAAGAAAATAAAACTAACGTCTCTCTCCTCGTTTTTGCAAAGATTGATTCATTTGAGACAGAACTGATCAGGAT